AAAATTAAAAAATACTATCGACAAATATGAATTATAATATATATCAGTAAAATCATTACAGAAGTTAATAAAATTATTTAAGGAAAGAATATTTTTAATCATATTTGAATATGAAATGTATAAATGCAAGCAATAATGCATATAGTAAAAAGTTTATAAATAAAGTATGCATTAAATGTGAGTTGACTTTTATTGCTACTATTTTTGGTAAATAGTATGACTTTTAATATAAGTATAGATCTGCAGGAGTATAAATGATATACATAAATAGGTACTTGTTGATTTATAGTATGAAACTTGATAAATATCAAAACTGGGGGTGTAGCTCATATGGTAGAGCGCTCGCTTCGCATGCGAGAGGCACGGGGTTCGATTCCCCGCACCTCCACTAAATTTTTTTGATTAATTTTACAACTATTTCATATACATTTTTTACTTTGTAAATAAATAAATTAGTTTCTGTAAATAATAATCTATTTATTACTATATAATTAGGCAACCCACTTACTAAAAATAGTAAGTTTTTTAGTGGGTCCCTCATTATATTACTATTTATGGAAAGTTAGTTTCAAATTTTTATTATTTTATTAAACGTGCTTCAACCTTTGTTAATTATTTTTTTTTTTTTAATAATAGGTTAATAGTCAAAATGGACCTAAATTTGTTATTACCATTTGTAGGTAGGCATTTTAAAATGTTTTGTCTGTTTTGATTTCTCATTCACATAAAAGTAAATTTCTTTTTACATGTACATGATATGTTGAATCACGGTGAATTATTTATGATGTATGTTAAATAATAATTTATATTTAAAGCCTTCCTAAAAATATGAAGATACTAGGCAATAATATGGTGCTTATTTAAATAAAAGAATGGTTCACAAATAAATAAATTGTAAGTATATGTATAGAAAATAATAGTTAAAAAATAAGATCACATTATAAATTATAAAACCAGACAAGTAAGAAATAATATATTCAAGTGTCAAAATACGATCTAAATTACATGATAAATTCAAGCAAACTATAATAAAATGTGGTAAGATAATAAAATTATTTGAGAATTTTCTTATATCCCAACTATATATATTTGCGCATTTAGTACATGATATTCCAATTAAATCAATTTAG